GTTTTGAACTCTTGACCTTGAGCAATCCGCCCGCTTCGGCCTCCCAGAGTGCTAGGATTACAGGCGTGAGCCACCGCGCCCGGCCCCAATTTCTTTTAAGTGTTTCTTAGTATTAACTGCACCTACCTTTTTCTAATGTCATCATTTTTCTTTTGAGCTCCAAAGATCTATATGCCAAATGGTGGAACTCATCAGGGAAATTTTATTCTAAAGTTCAAAGATTTGATTCTTCTTAAAATGCTTTTCCTTTGGGGAAAGAAAAAAAAACCTTAAATATGCAAGATAGCTCTGATTTACATTAAATACTACGATGGCACCAGATATTACACAATGGCATGGTACACACACACACATATGTGTACACACACACATTATGAGGTCTGTAGATGTCACACAGATTACAGATGTCACAACGTCTACTTTCAAAAACATCTAAAATCTTTGTTTGCTTGTGAACAAAGTCCTATCCCAGCTAGTAGGCAGGAGTGGATATGCTAGTATCCTATGATAAAAACCTAAATCTCCAGTTAGACCAGCCTCCCCCAGTCTCCCAATTAGCCCTGCTAATTTGTTATTTCTCCTTTCCTATCCCTTTAAGTCTACATGCTTCATTAAAACCCTCAAGATCTGAGGAAGTATTAGTTGTAATTTTCATGTTAGATGTTTCTGGAACCACACATTCTAGCATTTCTTCCCTGCAATCAGTATTTTGAACAAGTTTGAGTCATAAGAACCTAAGACAAAAGAACATTATTTTTTCTCTCATTGTACTTTCAAAATTTGTACTTTTTGGAAAGTTCTTCCTATGTCCCTGGATGAAAATTAAGACAAGTTTCATGGCTTCTCTGGCTGTTCCTGCTTGGCAAAAAATACCTTTAATTATTTTAGGGAACATTCACAAAAATCTCAAGTTGGTTCTTGGATAGTCCATTCCTATGAAATAGTCTAAAACATTGTTTTCAGAGTTGAAGCTGTTCTACTTCCCCAGCTCCTGACTGTAAGCAATCAGCCTGGGAACAAGCTGTGCTGGGCTTCCTTCCTCACATCCATCACCTTCTTCCTCACGAACTGAATACAATTTCTAACTACTTATGTATTGAGAGGTAGTAATGAAGAAGATAAAAGGGATAAAGTCTTACTTTACAAATGGAGCTGTGGAATGCTAACTTTTAGTTTTCTGGTAGCAGCTGATACTTCTTGCTGTTGCCTCTTCTGATGGTCACTTGTGGTCCTGTGGAACCCTCACCTGTACTATCAGGGTTGTGCCACCTGCAGTCTAGTATGGGCTAATGTGTGATTCTCGAGCTCCTCATCTACTCCCTTCTCAGTTGTAGGGATCCTGTGATGCCTTCAGCAGCTCTGAGATGAGGGCTGCTCTCCTTTTTGGAAGGTCCTACTCAACAGAATATAAGACGACTTCATTCTGGATCTCTCTCAGGTGGAAGAGGACTCACTGCGCATCCTGTGTCCCGGCAAGCTCTGGTGGAACAGACCAATCCTGACGGTGCAACAACTTTTCATTCATGTCCCCAGTCATGTCCAACAGTGTCACTTGCCTAAGAGATTCATCAGGCAGAAGTTCAGATACCCCTTTGACGGTTACCTTTATGTGTAACTTGGCCAGGCTGCAGTGCCCAGTTATTCAACTGAACACTGATGAAGGCGTTGCTGTATGATGAAGGATGATGTATGATGTACACTGATGTATGATGTACACTATATGATGAACAGTGATGAAAGTATTGTGCAGATATGGTGAATAGTTGGAATCAGTTGGCTTTTACTGAAGATTATCCTTAATGATGTGGGTAGGCCTCATGCAATTATTAATAGATGAAGGCCTTAAGAGCAAGCCTGAGGTGTCCTCAAGAAGATATTCTGCCTGAACACTGAAGTTTCAACTCCTTCCTGAGTATTCAGCCTGCCAGGCTGCCCTAGAAACTTAAAAATTTCCAGTTCCTACAATTGCGTGTGTCAATTTCTTATCTATCTATCTATCTATCTATCAATCTATCTATCTATCTATCTATCTATCTATCTATCTATCTATCTATCTATCTATCATCTCCATCTTTGTATATATACATATATCCTTAATTTAAATATATATAATATATATATATATATATATATATATATATATATATACCCTCTGAGAGAACCCTGACTGATATACCATCCCACCATGCTCCCAACTACAAGTGACAGGTTTTAAGTTTAACAAATGATCCAATTGAAGCCTCTCTCACTTGGCTTGAATTAAGAGACATGAAACTCATCATGAGTGTTTCTGAACACATAAAAAAACGAATCCTTCCATAGCAGCCTTCTATATCTCTCCTTAGCTCTTTTCTATCTTGTTGGTGCATGAGAGTTTATTAACAGATTCTTGACCCCATAGAAAAATTTCAATTTGATCGTATACCATCCTCTGGTATCTAATATGTATCACTGAAGCTTCTTGGTCAAAATTTTTACTTTTTTGTCCTTAAATAAGTTATCTTCTTTTCATGAATATGTGACAACGAATTCAGAAAGCATTTATCCAGTGGTTCTGGTGTGGCCAGCCACGTATATGCTACACTATCTACGGAACTGGTTCAGTTTTGAAGGAGCTTAAAATTCATTTGGAGGAGACAAAATTCAGAAACATTGCTATAGTTTAACAGGAGCTAAGAAAAATTAACCGCATGGCCTAATGTGATGGGTGGGTGACCAGTGAAAAAAATCATGCTCTTAAAATAGTGGCAAGGAGGGAGAGGAAATGCATCGTATACAACAGCAAAAGTACTCACCATCAAGTTGGTATTAACTGATCAACACTTAAATGCACATATAGTAGTAACATTCATCAGGTGTCGGGAAAGTGGGAGGCTGGAGGAGGTGATAGATATAATCACACCTAATAGGTGCAGTGCACACTTTCTAGGGGATGGATATGCTTGAAGCTCTAACTCAGGCAGCGTAAGGGCAATATATGTAATGTAGGCATTTGTACCCCTGTAATATGCACAAATAAAAAAATGTAAAAGAAGTAAATCAACGAGCAGGATAAAGATGAGATTGGAGGGAAAGAGGAAAAAATAAGGGAGATGGGAATAGAGGCTACATTGTGGGGACAAGTGGGAAATAAAGTTGAAGTGACAGAATAAGATTAGATTATTTTAGATAGAGTCAAACAGATCAATTTGTACCTGATGTGATTTTTGACACAGTTACAGAAGAAAATAATCGATTGATGTGTGCTGAGTGGCTGCAACTCTATGAAAGATGTGGCCTGGGAGAGGGGAAGATTATGGAGAATGATAAAAATATTTGAAGGACAACGAGCTACCTAGAGGTCTGTTGCAAAGCTTCAGCGGTGAGTGCTTAGGGAAGGCCCGTGCTACAGCATGCAGGTAGTGGGTGATAGAACACTGCAGTGGAAAGGCGCATGAGTGGATCACAGATTTCAACTCTTATGTTATTGCTGTGTGGTTATGGCATGGCCCATCCACAGAGCGAAGTAGTTAGTGTAAGAGCTGGGACTAGACCAGTTTTATTGATTTCCAAACATGAATTATTTTCTTGTGGTTTTAGTGGAATTATCTCTATTTGAAATGGCTTAGAACTAATCTTACTTCTGACATAAAATCTATTCTCCCAAATGCCATGCAAAAGTGTTGGCACGATGTACACTCATTTAAAAAGAAAGCCCCACACGTATGATAAACTATGTTAATAAAGCACATGTATTTTTATTAACCTATGCCCAGTTGAAGGCCTTTTGTTCTCAACTCAATTTTGTTTTTTGTTGATTTTGTTTTTTTCTTTTCTTTTTTTTTTTTAACTCAAGTGTCTATGAATTAACTAAAACAATGTATTGCCAGCAATAAATGAGAATGTAAACATAGTACCCGAATATAACTCTGGCTGCTAGTTTTATTTTTTATTTTTTTGTATTTTCTCAGCTGGCCTGTTTCATCCTTTGTGAAATTTTGGCAGTTGAAACACTAAGTCCTAAGAAAGAAAAACAAGTGGGTACTTTGCTTTAAAAAGTGCTTTGGAAATGGGTATTTAAGGTTTTTGAGAAGTTATTTACGGGAATAGATTGGATAAAATAGCAACATACAACACAAAGTGGCAGCAACAACAGCTTCCTTTCTCACTCTCAGTGGTGGGGAAGTACTTATGATAATTGCTAGACAAGTGGTAAACTCGGCTGGAAATATGAGATTGATTTCCACTTCACCCCACCCTGGGTCTTTTATATTTTTTAATGGTACCATGTTGTTAATATTTGGGGGGGGGGGGCACAATAAAAATTTAAAACAGCAGTGTTTTTTAAAAGAATTCAAAAAATAAAATAATCATAAATTCAATGTATATAGAGACAGACTGTAGATTTAAAACATCTTTCATTAAATATGTTTAATATTTTTGATATTTATGTGAAAACTTCTGTATAACATGTAGTAAACATATATTGCATATTTGTTGAGTGAATTAAAAACAGGTTTAATATAATGTGCCCAGTAATTAGAGAAGGCCTCCCTTTCTTAGAGTATTACATATATACTTGTTTGTACTTGTAAGAGAAAATGTCTATTTAGAATCCTCCCATCTCTCACTTGAACTTTCTTTCATTTTCTTGATAGTCTTTCCAGCATCCAATAACTACTTAAGAACTAATTTGAATTTCATGCTTATATCCAGACTTTACAAGTGACATGGAAATTATAATAGTTTGAGAGATAAGATAGAATTCATATAAATTGCATTATAGAAGGTAAATGTTCAGTTCTAATCCCAAAGACATGAGAATCGTAAGTCATGGAACTAGAAGCAATTTACCATCAGGAATTGAGCAAAGACTTGAAAGAGGTTGCCAATGATGTTTCCTTCAATATGTTTGAATGCAGAGACAAATGCACTATCAGTACTCATTATTTTAGCTCCTCTGGGATCAGAAGCTTACAATGTACAATTTCTTTGGTAGAAGTCCTTTTAACTACATGAATTTTCTCATATAATTCATTCATATCAGGTAAAATGTTAAATGTTATACCTCCTGTTGCAGAAAATACTTCAGCTCTCTCAACTGGTGATTTGGAACAATAATCAATCCTCAATGATTCAATGGTGATATTTTTACATTTTTACCAAATATGATAGGAAGATAGCTCTCAGAAGACTAAGGCTTCCATTGAGAAGTCCTGAAAAAAACGAATAAAATGCCATTAAAAAAAACCCCAAAACAATGTATCAAAGAACTATTGATTCAACTAGGAATGTGGTAACCAAGATCTTAAAGCCTAAAGGGTTTCTCAGAGAAATGAAGCAACGTTCTTCAAGATGCATTCTCCTAGGGTCATGTGCAATTTTTGGAATGAGAAGCTAAGAATTCAAAGGATTAGTGCAAAAATTTCAAGAAGTAAGCAGAACTTTTGATAATGTAAAATGAATACACAAAAATTACAGTATGGAGAAATTAATTTCTACTAAGAGGGTAATATCTTAATAAATAAGGAGGTGTACAAAAGTCATCTCTAGATTTAGAAGTTTCTCCTTTCAAGTAATTACCAAGTTGTAAAACTCTGTTGTGGAAGAAGGTAAAAAATTAAGCACAAGAGAAGTTAAAATTGCCTAATTTATTAAATGAGTTGCTGGTATCACTAAAACTGGTAGACTTACCTTGATCTAGTACTTCCACTCCTAGTTATATGTTCAGCAAAAGGGTGTATATGTAGCTGAGCAGATACATAGATATCCTTAATAATGTTCATAGCATCAGTATTCACAATTGCTAAAATTTGAAAACATCCCAAATGTTGCCAAATCAACAAAAATGTGCATAAATAAATGATGTGGTATACTCATATAATGGTAGCAATTAGAAAGAATGAATCAGTATAAAAACAAAATTGGAGGCTGAATCTCAAGTGAAAGGATCCAAAAGAATATAAATTGTATATATTGAGGCAAAACTAACTTATTGTGTTAGATATGAGTATACTTTGTGTTAGATATGAGTATACTGGTGATTTGGTGAGCTTGAGTTGTAACTGGGAAGCATAACACAGAAACTAATGATAATCATGTCTTCCTTGATCCAGGGGATATTTGTAGATAGAAACTTTATTAACTTTTAGACTAATTATTTGTGAACTTTACTAGATTTATGTTATACTTCAGTAAAACTTTTTATTTACATATAATAGGGAAAATTTCTTTAGAATAATAAACATAGAGGATCCCAAAACTGTCGTTGTTAGCATGTGACTCTAATTCATGTATACTGGAATTCTTGCCACAAGCACCCCCTCTTTCTCAGTGTTTGGATTTCAACTTAGGCTATTCTGATCTCTGTGTTAGGGTTGGCAAAGGATGTGAAATGTTAATTGACTCTAATTTAGTATGTAACACAAAGTAAGAAAAGCAACTAGTGGAGATTAAAACAAATGGTCACATGTTTGGTATAGTCTAGAGCAGTATGACAAAGATCATGGCAAAGAGATGTGGCAGGATACTTTAGGAAGGGCCCAGGATTGATGAGAAAATGGAACTTGAAATAAAGCAAAATGACACTGTGAGTCTCTCTTTTGTTATTCTGGGAAGACGTAAGTATAGGGGTGTGTAGTACAGTTGAATTCATGAGATATCTAAAAGAGGAGACTAAGGTAGCAAGCCAATGAACCCAAAATGCCCAAATAAAATAAAAGGAGTAACTGAGAGTAGTCTACTTGGGACACTGAAAGCCCAAGAATCTAGAGGACCTTGATTTCCAGACAAAAGTTTGCAATGAAGGGTGCAATTTGGACCCACATCCGGGTAGAAATGCAAAAATCTCTATGGCAACCAATACTGATGAGAGAAACATACCAGATAATTGATGTGTGCAATGTGGCCAAATGACCTCTGAACTGAATGTTTCGCCATTGTGCTTGCCCTAAAACCTAGACCTCACCATAGGGAGAAAGAAAGTGGTAGGAGACACCAACTGATGTAGAAAATCTAAAATTGAAGGAATTCAATTTGAATCAGTAAGACAATACTTTCTACTACTAGGTGGGATGTGGCAACAGTATATATGGTAACATGACTTAAAATCTGAATTATAGAATTTCACAAGGAAGAAAGATGAGCAAATATATTCCAGATATCAGACAAAACTAGGTAAATGAAACAGTAACAGGAAATAGGAGCAGCAGAATGTGTAGATATAGGCATATAGGAGGATGAGGCTAGTGAAAATTATCAAAATATATTATTTTAAACTCCAAGAATCCAATGCATACCTCATCCTTCAATGTTTTTTCATTACATTATATTACACTAGAATTTCAAAAGAAACAGTGCTACAAGCTAGAAGAGAACAAAATGTACAGATATAACTCAGACAATTTATGTTTATAAGCTAATTGTAAAGATTACCTACAGACACAGATAAACATAATAAGAGTAGTAGAAAAGAGGTAAATGAGTTACATAGCACAGTCATTGCAAATTTAGAAATGAATCATGTAGAGTTTGAACAATGAGGGAACTTTTCATGGAAAATGTTTTGTATTTCTACTTGAAAGATATTTAGCATTTGGATAAAAAGAATAGAAGTAATAGAAGTGATTTTTAGAGATAAGTTATAGTTTCAGGTATCCATACCTGTTGTTTGGTTGGATGATTATGGTTAAGATGAGAGAACTGAAGAGGAAATGAAAAACATTGATCACAGGTGAAGGAAATAGCTATCATAATACCAACAGACACTAAGAATCTTTGAGAGGAAGAAGCTGGTTGTCGGGAATTACAATAAATTTTGTTTGGGGCATTATTAGTGTAGTTTTACTGAAGAGAACTGGAATTTGGAAGAATGAAGCTAAAATGAACTATCTAGCAAAAAGGAGAGTGGAAACCACGCTAATATAGAAAAATGAAAGGTTGTAGAAAAACAAACAAACAAAAAACCCTAGAATGTTCTTCTTTAGAGGATGTATTGTAAATTTAAGTCCCAGAGCAAGCTGTCCATTAGGGAAATAAAGAGAAAGACAAGCTAGTATTCCAAAGGCAGAGCCAGGGCACAGCAATATCAAGAACAGGTGGCCACCATTGTGAATAATCAATGTCAGGGAGAATTGTGACTCAGAAAAATCTTTGAATTTAATAGCTATGGATTTATTGATTTCCTTCTAAACACATGAAGAATTAAAAGGAATGTGTGTTGAGAAGTAAAAGTGATTTCCATATTTTTAGCACATTTTTTTCCTTGTGATTTGGCTGTAAAAGGAAGAGGCAGAAAATTGTTGTTTTCCTGAATTAGCATAAATTTTACTGTGGGGAAGCTTAAAAGCTCTTTTATATATAATACATGTTTTTCATAAAGAAAGGAACTGATTTGCTTTTAAGCACTGTTCATTGTTTTACACAGTAAGAAACACAAATACAGTAAGAGAACAATTATTATACACTTTATGAGTACTTCATGCAGAAGTAGGAATGGTGATTTCAAAGGCAGTGAATTCACTGTCCCTTCACTACAAATTTCAGTATAGGCCCGTCAAAGCATGACTGGATTAATAAAATATGATATATCTATATAATGGAATACTACTCAATTATGAGAAACGATGGTGATCTAGCACCTCTTATATTCTCCTGGATAGAGCTTTAGCCTATCCTCCAAAGTCACAAGAATGGAAGAATGGGCACCACATGTACTCGACGTCAAACTGGCACTGACTGATCAACACTAAGGTGCTCACACAGTAGTAATATTCTTTGGAGGTAGGGGCATTGGGGTGGGTAAACTCACAACTAATGGACGTGGTGAGAGTTGTAGTGCGGGAAGAGCATGTCTCAAATCTTGGTTGGGATTTGACAAAGTCATAACATGTAACTAAAATATTTGTACTCCCATAATTTCCTGAAACAAACAAAAAATTAAAGGCTGGGCGTGGTGGCTCACACCTGTAATCCTAGCACTCTGGGAGGCCGAGGCGGAAGGATCACTCAAGTTCAGGAGTTCAAAACCAGGCTGAGCAAGAGTGAGACCTCGTCTGTACTAAATATAGAAAGAAATTAGTTAGCGAACTAAAAATATGTAGAAAAAAATAGCCAGGCATGGTGGTGCATGCCTGTAGTCCCAGCTACTCAGGAGGCTGAGGCAGGAGGATTGTTTGAGCCCAGGAATTTGAGGTTGCTGTGAGCTAGGCTGACGCCATGAACTCTAGCCCAGGCAAGAGAGCAAGACTCTGTCTAAAAAAAAATTAAAAAAAAATTCAGTATAGGTAAAGTTAAATCAATGTTCATACAAAGAATGACAATGATTACTGCCTCACATGCATTTAAGGATGACTATCTAGAAGAGTAAAGAAAAAAGGAAGCAAAGGAAGTTTTATAAATATAACATGGAGAGGAGGAGGTGTCCCAGCACTCATAGGAATGTAGTTTAAATTGTAGTAATTAAAGAAGTGTAATATTGGTGAAATATATCACAAGAGAAGTACAAGATCCTAAAGCAAACTAATGTATATTGCAATATTATTATTATTATTATCATTATTATTGAGACAGTTGTACTCTGTTTCCTGGGCTAGAGTGCTATGGTATCAGCCTAGCTCACAGTAATATCAAACTCCTGGGCTTAAGCAATTCTTCTGCCTCAGCCTCCCATGTGGCTGGGACTACAAGCCTGTGCCACCATGACCAGCTAATTTTTCTATATATGTTTAGTTTTCTAGCTAATTTCTTTCTATTTTTTTAGTAGAGACAGGGTCTCGCTCTTGCTTAGGCTGGTCTCAAACTCCTGACCTCAAGTGATTCTCCCACCTCAGCCTCCCAGAGTGCTAGGATTATAGGCATGAGGAACTGTGTCTGGCTGCAATTTTATTAAATGATAAATATAATTCATGGCACCAGGGAACTGATGGGTCAATTAGCAAATGCTATTGAGAATGCTTATGAAAATAGGAAGGGTATAAAACTTTGCTAAATTAATTTCATCTGAATAATATATTATATATATATATGTTTTATATGTACTTATTCACCTACCTAAAAGAGGTTTATTTTTCAAATTTTGTGATAAATTTGTAAGTATAATATAAAATTAACATGCCACTAATGAAAAGACTAAAACACAAATAATTATATAAAATTAAAAACAATTGTGTGGCAAAATACATCATAAACTTAGCTCAATAGAAATACCAGTGCAGAG